CATATTTATCTTTCACTTTCAATGTATGATTCGGGTTATTTCGCTAGATATTGGACTTTTTCTAAAAATCATAACAACTAGCCCCGGTCTCCCCTATTCAGTTTAGTTGTAGTCTTATTTTATAAGGTTGACTTTTGCCTACCATTTAGGCTATTTTATTTACTTTTAGCTTTCTTTTAGTGCAGCTTATGGAGGGGGGACTCACATTGGACAAGTGAGAGAAACATTCAAGATACTGCAAAGAAAAAAATTATAATAATATATTTTCAATGTGTACACTCACTAATAGCTCATATACTGCATAATTCAATGGGGTAACATGAGCTAGACATTTGCTGAGTGATTTAAATTTTTTTTGGCTGGTTATTTTGATACGATACCTTATCACTTCTCACATAATAGCTTTTATCATTTGATGCTGCTCTCTATATGTGCAGTTATTTGCTTCCCACTAGCCTTGATACTCCCACCTACCCCACGTGTACTTTTGGTACAGCTGTGCTGTAGCAAGCAAGCAATCATGCAACAACACTCCAGGCACAGCTGACTCCCTCTGTTCTGTAGTATCCAATCTTCTCAATTTGGCATTGTTGTGTGCATATGCATCAAGTTTTGCTGATGTTTGCCTTGTCTTTTAAAATTAACAGTTTAATTTCTTACACAACTTTCTTAGTTGTTTCTAGTTTTTCTTTAATTTTTTTTTGTTTCTACTGTGAAACCTATTACTGTAGGTTGATATTTAATATCCACTCTCAATCAGATTATGAATTCTGAATTTCAAGTCACAATAAGTACTATGGTTGTTACTACTGCTATTGCTCTTCAACCTGCAGTTTCTCAGGCTTCATGCTTTTTGCTGAGGAGGTGTAGGTTTTAGTACATTGTGAATTGGAGTCCGTTATATGGCCTGCTGTGTCTCCTGATCTCAGACCAGATATTCTTTTTCTGATGTACCTGGACAGGACAATGATGATTTGGATAACCTATTTGTGTGTCTTCTTTATTTGCTGTGTAATCCCTTCTTGCACATGTGGGTGCTCCCAGACTGTCTTCAGTCTTTCTGAATATGTTGTAACAAGTTGGTTACCTTTTGTTTGTATCCCATGTGTCACATGATTCCTCTCCTTGTCTCTGTTATATTATGCTCTGCATCTAAGCTCTTTATATATATATTCATTCGTTTATTCTATAGTTTTTAACATTTAGTTACACACAAATTGATAAAGAAATCATAGTTTAGTTAATGCTGCCATAACTAAAATGGTGTTTAATATGTATATAGAACAGTTTAAAAATATTTTTGTAGTTTTCATTATGCATTGTGTATTCTTCCTAGAGTTTGCAGTTGAGCTTTACTAAGCTCATACTGTAGACAAAAGCAATGTAATAATATTGGTACTTTAATTTAAGTATGTTTGTTGCTATATGTGTGAATGAGTGTTTGTGAATTAAAGAAATATGGATACTTGTGTATATAGTTTTAATTTGAAGGTTAGGGATTTAATAATGTGTACGCCCATTAAACAAGCAGTTTTGTTTCATGCTGTTCATCCTATTGCTAGAAAAACATTCTGGGTAGATTTATAGGGAGACATGCAAATTCCTTGAAAAAATTACAGAAGTCTAGAACATACACATAAACAAAGTATGACAATAAAACCTGTTATCCTGGACTTTGGGCAGTATTAGTTTCACACCTCTGATGTCAAATCCCATTATTTGATTAGAATAGTCCAATAGTTGAACAGCAGTCACTAATCTGCATTAGCTGTCCCTAATTTTGAACTGACAGACTAAAGAGAAGGCAGTTAGTCAACAGCTAATGCAGATATAACCATTGTGTAGCTTTGCATGAATATCTAAAACAAACAGAATATAATATTCATACTTACTTTGTTAACTGTTTCATCTTTTTCTTTGCCACCAAGCATATGAAGCTCAACTTGATATACCAATGGAGTAACAGTTATAGTTGATCAATTTCTCTGTGTATCCTAAGATTGAATACACTATGACAAAATCACAAACTGCATCTTGTTGGGACATTGATCATCTAAATCGTCTAACTTTTAAGGAAATATTTTTGTAAACATACCCAGGTTTTTGATAATTCTACAAATGGGAAAAAAAACCCTATGTTGTTTGTCAATTACCTTAAAACTTTGTAAATGAAGTAGAACCCATAATGTTAGAGCAGGTAGAAATGTGGTTTGAATGCTCTTATGAACTAATGATAAATGTTCTTTAATATTTTTGCAGATTGAAATTTTGTTTGCAAGTGTTTTTTAAGCAGTTATTATAAAAGATGGACATATGTATATGTTGAATATGAATATTCTATTAACAATAATAGCTTTAACAGTAATATTTTGTAACTCTTTACATATTTTTATTTTATGCCAAAATATAGTAATGTTGATTATTTATCAGTTTCAAGTTTTCTCCTGGGGATGGACCACCAGTAGAGAGGTTGTGTCTGCAATGTCAACACAAACATCAGGTGATGTAATTGCAAAACTAGATTTGTTGGACAAACATTTTTCCCAAGTGTTTATCGTATTACAATAAAAGCTTATTTTTTAATGTCCTAGTTCACCTGTATATATGTATATGTATGTTACAAGAATTAGTCATTTTTTCAGAACAGTATCTTAAAAGTAAGCTGGAAAAGTTTAATCTTTAACCGGTATATTTTCAATAATGATCAAAATGTTTGACGTTGTGGAAAGCTGTAATCTCACCAAATACAAGATAAGCACCAGTCATCCAATAGCAACTGTATTCCATGATGATTTAAATTGACCAATCTCAGAACTAAAGTACAAATTACATTTTTACTGCACATGATATCATTCATCATTGTCAATTTTGAAAATTATATTAAATTTAGAATGTTTAATAAAGATTATTAGTTTCAGTATTTAAACATAATGATTCTTTTCTATCTGAAGTAGCCTTCTCATTACTTTTTATAACTTTGACCATTGTTCTTTTGTAATTTTTGTCTTTAAACTGACTTTTTTGTAACTATCACTTTTACAAATTTCATTTATTAATTCATTTACGATGTCAATATTCACCACATTTTACTTGTCAAACATTGTTGCTCTTTCTGTTCACTTCACAAGTTCACTAAACTAATTTTTTGTGACTGAGCCTGTAAATTGTTGTTGCTTCTTCTTCTGTTTTACTAATTTCTCAGGACTGGCTCTGTTAGCTGTCGTTACTTTCTCTGTTCATCTTATAAATCAGTGTTGTACTAATTGTTATAATCCTTCTATTTATCCCCCAGTGGTCTTTGAATTATTATTATTATTATTTGGAAGTAAACCTGTATCGAACTTCCTGTTGCTCCTTTTTTCCATTTCCCAAATCTGAGTGAACTAAGCTTTTGGGATTGGTTCTGTAAGTTGTAACTAATTATCACTGCAAGAAGAGTTTCTGTTATCAGTGGTCCATGGTCTGGGTCCTGCTTGAATTTGTGAACTCTCCCTTCAGCAAAGGATATTTTGTTCTATATGAAGTAATTTTTGCTGTTCACAGTCACAGTTGCTTACTTTTTTATGGTAAATTAGAGTATGTGTAGTATGATGTATGAGCACATTTAGCATGGTAAATAAACATACTTGGATAGTTGAACATGAGATTCTTGTTCTGTACTAGGAATTTTGCTCAGTATTTTGGGACATTTCCATAGTTTGTTCAAGTGTCATAAACTCTTAGTCTCGCTGATACTTTTTGTTCTAATCCTGTTTAATTTTTTTGGAAATCAGTAATACATCCTTTTCAATAACCCTTCTGCTTCTTTTTCTCTGATTTACTTTATGTTTCCATATAGTGAATTTAATCATTTCATTTTATTTTACAGTTGTATGTTTCTCTAAACATATCTTTACATGAATAATTCTTTTTGTTTCTTATGCCTTCCCATTTTATACTGAGGCATTATAAATGCATCATTTTGATTTATTCTATTTCGTTGTAACATTATTCTTTCATTGGGTGGGTTCTTTTAAATTATTTGGTAAAAATAAGGTCAAATACAGTCTACATAATGATAACAAATTAGTTCATTTCTTCCTTAATGTTGGGTACAAGCTGCTATTCCTTGCACATTGTAGGCCCTTGTTCACAAATAATGTTTTCACTTTCAAATTCTGTGGAGATTTACCACTAATGGTACTACAACTAAAGTACAAATCAATGAAGAAACTAAATTTATGTGATAATAAATACAAATCTAAATACTTCACTCTTGTGGGGCACACTCATACCACTTCATTATTAAAATCAACTACCAAATAGTACAAATATTAACATCAATAAGTGTTGAGATGGCTATAATGGTTTCAAATAACTATGGTTATAATCTAAATTCAGGAAGAACTTAAAATACAATAACTCATTTAAAAACCTTTTGTGATGTATATATCATTGTTTTATAATTACTCAAATCCACTGAATCCTTGGACTTTGAAGTAACTTATATTACCATCAGTTGAAAATGGTAGAACTACGAATCCTGTATGCTTTCTAGAGACAGGTAGTTCTTTGTGTACCATTTCTGTCAGTGTCTTCCTTCTATAGATAGGTGGACCAATATGGGCAGCAAACCTGCATGACAAACATTTTCTGTCATCTATGTTACAGCAAATTGGAAATGAAGAACACAGCTATGGAACAGCAAAGAGGATGATTGGAATTTTGAATGTAATTTTAGAAGTATGTTGATAATTTCATTTATCAGTATTGCAGACTTAAGCAAAAAAGTAATTTAATGTAAAAAAAATGTTTTGAATTTTGTTTTCTTATGTTAAGCATAGATATTTTAATCATAATTTTTACTTAAGGTTAGCTACGTCAGTGTTACACTGTAGAATAGAGGAATACATTCTTTGTTTTGTTTTTTAACAGTTATGCTACTAGTTAAATTATGTCAACACATTCAGCAGATTGTAGTTGCCCAAAAATC